ATATATATATATATATATATATATATATATATATTCTGAACCCGAGAAAGTCAAAAAGTGTTACTTTGGGCCCCGCTCTCCCCTACTAGCTTCAGAGAACAAACCACCATGCAATTGTTTATAGATGATATTATAGCGCCACTCTGTGGTTAAGAAGTGAAGTGGGTCAAAGTTTGCGGATGACAAGAAATCAAAACAGTAAACACACAAGCATACGTACCAATAAATAAACCGGGTGGACCTCCGAGCAGCCCCCCTACAAAAGCCCCTCCACCAGCAACAGCAGCTCCTTTGGCTGAGTTCCGTACAGCCGCTTTAATCTGCCTGCTCTCTGAGATCTTACAGCAGAGCGCCATTACATCGTCTATTTGATGGCTCATTGTGTTGTGTTCAAACACTGCCTGAGGAGGAGAAACATGAATCAAAGAGCTGACTACTCTCAAATGTAAGATTTAACACCCCACACACAATCGTAAACTCGTATATGGTTTCTTACAACAAACTAAACAAGTTATGAGGCTAAACAAGTTAGGCTACTACATAGAATATGTACATTTGCACAGCCTACGTCTGCTTTTGACAATATTTAGTTTTATCAACTACATCAGAGCTTTGATATAGTTGTCAGACTTTAGCCTACCTCTTTCTTTTGTTGACGCTACTTTCAGTTTCTGCAAGTGGCATCACACTTCCGCACTCTGCTCCGCTGCTGTGTGCAGCTGACCCTTTAACTGGTGTTATGCTTATGATTCTTCGCATAATGCTTTTAATTTATTTCATAGCATCACCTAAATGTAATGTAACTGTGTTGAAAAACTGCCAAACAACCTTACCTGTATGAAAAGCGCGTATGCAGTACCCAATAGGCCCACGTACCTGTTGGACAAAACAGAAAATGCTGGCTCGCCTTTCTAGTACTGGGTTGGACCCTCTTTTGACTTCAAAACTGCTTTAATTCTTCGTGGAATCAGTTCAACAAGGTGCTGGAGACATTCCTCAGAGACTGTGGTCCATAAAGAGATGATCACTCAGTTCCTACACATCCTGATGCAAATCTCCCATTGCACCATCACATATCGGATTGGGATCTGGTGACCATGGAGGCCATTTGATTATAGTGAACTCGGGAGTCATGTTGGAGAAACCAGTTTGAGGTGAATTGAGCTTTGTGACATGACGCGTTATCCTGTAAATTGTAGCCTGAGTTTCCTGTTCTTAGCTGACAGGAGCGGCAATCGGTGTGGTATTCTGCTGCTACACCCCATCTACTTCAAGTTTCAACGTGTTGAGCGGTCAGAGATATTCTTCTGCATACCTCAATCGTAACAAGGGGTTATTAGAGTTATTGTTACCTTCATATCAGCTGGAACCAGTCTGGCCATTCTCCTGTGCCAACAAGGCATTTTCACCCACAGAAGCGCTCACATTTGATCTTTTTCAGACCAAGAAAAAGCATAACAGCATTTCTGGTCATTCTACAGAAACGTCCACCTTTGGTATGGCAAGATGTCTTAAAATGTGTTTCTTTTTTTAACATTTAAACTTAGATCACATTATTATATTACCGTTTGACTTTATGACTACACATGAATGACAGCTTAATGATTTTTTTATCTTTTTTTGTGCATTTATTTAAAGACCACATGTACCATTTTTTTGTCACTGGTGTTACCTTAATTCTTTGGCAATTTTAAAGGTTTTTATGAAATATTATTTCTCAATTCTTTTAGTACATGTAGTCAGAGTTACAGAAAAATAATGATAATGCAACAAATAAGGAGATTATGTTTTATTTATTTTAATCAGGTTTGTTAAAAGTGTGATTGAATGATGTTAGTTCATTTGCGCAACCATGTATTTGCTATAACAATCAAAATGTTTGTAAAAACTGTTATAAACAAGTAATGATGCAATCCTTTATATCTTAACTCTTGAGTGAAGCAGAATTCAATGGATGTAAAATTATTATCATGTCACATGTGATGCATTTTATTTAATGTGACAGGGAAAAAAGTAACACCAGTGACATATACATAAGACCAAAGATCCTTATTCTTCAACTATAATAGTTAAGACTAAATTGTTACATTTGGAATACATTTGGCAATTGGTGAAAGCAGTTAGTAAAAAAACATAACCATAAACTGATTTTCACTGGTGTTACCCATAAAGAAGGTAATCCCAGTGACAATTTTCATGAAAAATGCATTTTACAAAATGTCTGCTGCAAGGTATCAAACCACATGTTGTCAATCATGGTATACTCACTAAATTGAGTAGTTTAATCTATTTGTATTCTAGTTTTTTACAATTCCCTAACAATAAAGTAGGTCACACCAGTGACTTCCACTAAAAGCTTCATATGAAATCATGAGATAAATGAGAACATTTCTGATAACTGAAAAGAGACTGAACTTAACATGGGCCTTTTTTCATAGATCTTCAGGAAATAGGAGGAAGGAAGTCATCAGCGTGATTTTTATTTCAAAATAAAAGATTTTTGTTAAACGGTAACTCCAGGGGACCACTACTTTCATTATATATTTTATCATATTTATTTGGCATTTTGTTTTTTTATTTCATTTACATCATATATTTGATAGTTATGAATACATCATTGTATTTTAAATGGTAGAAAACCTGTTTTTGACCTCAAAATAAAGCACTTTCCCTCTGTACATGGCTGTGGGGACGAGCAGTTTTGTGGTGATTGGAATCCTTTATAATTAAAAACAAATATTGCCACATAGATGGCTCAAGAAGGTGTAATTGTTCAAATAACATACTGTTTTATTTTAAAATATTAAAAAAATTGTAACACTAAATTGTTTTTCAAGTGTAATATTTCTGTAAAGGCTAGGGACAGAAAAATGGACATTTCCATAGAATGACCCTATATATATATATATATATACACACACACACACACACACACATACACATACATACATACAAGGCCGCTGTTATTTTTAATTTTAATTTTTTGTTTGTTTTTCTTTTTAATGGAACAATAACTTTTCTATTTTGCACTTTTGATACTGTTTTATTTTAAAATATTTAAAAAATTGTAACACTAAATTGTTTTTCAAGTGTAATATTTCTGTAAAGGCTAGGGACAGAAAAATGGACATTTCCATAGAATGACCCTATATATATATATATATACACACACACACACACATACACATACATACAAGGCCGCTGTTATTTTTAATTTTAATTTTTTGTTTGTTTTTCTTTTTAATGGAACAATAACTTTTCTATTTTGCACTTTTATCTTGGGATAAAAACACATTTACACATCACCATTATGTATTTTTATGCATTCATGTCAACAGGCATTGCATAATTTGCATTGGCAAATTAAAAGGATCATGCATGATCATGTCTATTTTTCTGATATGTAAAATGTCTGGCCTAAATATTTTTTACAAGTTCCAATTTAGCGTAGTTACATCTTACATCTCATCATAATAGTGTTTTATTAAAATATTCACGTATGACAGAAAGGGTGATTATACACGGGGCAACTTTTTGAGCAATGTTGCTGGGCAACTTTGGGCAATGCAATGTTGCGGTCAACGGCCAACCAGGTGAGACACAGGGCCCACGACCGATCTAAAGTATCCAGAAATGTGTTACCCATCCTCAATGGGAAAGTACCCAAACAGCATTGCTAAAAAAACGTTGCCCTGTGCATCATCAGCCTTTTCAAGAATAATGCAAACTAGTAGCAACTTCTGTAACAAATCACCAAAACTGAACCAGTGACATTCACCCTCCGGTCAGTCTTCATACCGCACATCAGCTTTGAGTTGGTTTTTAGTAAAATTAAGTACAGCACCCAGCACCTGCTCATGTAGAGAGGCATTCCCATTAACTTGAGCAATCAGCTGCGCAACCTCAGTCCATTTCAGTGTACCCACTATGGCCATGACATCGGAGTACAGTTTCTCTTGCTGTGTATGACTCAGTTCCATGAGGATCTCAGGAAGAGGTTTGAATTGGCCGCTGGTCATCCATCCGCCCAGCGCACCTCCCACAACAGCACCTTGAGTAATATAAATGAATAAAATAATACTATAGCAACATCTTGTGGTTAAGAAGTGAACTAGACGGACTGAAAGAAAAAAAAATTGCGGATAAAAGTAACATAGCCTACCAACAGCTATACCGGCAGGACCACCGAGCAGCCCTCCAACAAAAGCAGTTCCTCCTGTAACTACGGCTCCTTTCGCTGAGTTTTTAAATGCTGCTTTTATCCTCTTATTTGTGGAGATTTCACAGCAGAGTTTGATTATGTCATCTTTTAGATTTGCCATTTTGACGTGTTGCTAAGCCTGGCGATAAACAACGATAAACGATTGTCACACATGATATAAAAGAGAACAAATAAAAAAATCAGCCAACAAAACAAACATTTCCTCAATCATTTCGCGTTTTCTGAGGTAGCCTTGCTACTTTCGTTGTTTGAGAAAATAATGAAGCGCTGTATAGGCTAAATCCTACGAATAAGTAGGCCTATTTGACATTTTCAGAGTTCTTACCTGATTGTCTGCGAACTTGAGCAGGGTTTTAGCAAATTAAAGTTACTTTCGGTATCATATTCATGAGCTTGATGTATTGGACGTGCACTTCCGTGCTCAGATGTGTTCATAGGCGACTTTTAAGCAGTTGAACTGATTCGTTTAATCGACGAAGACTTAAAAGACATGTTTCATAAACTATTATCCAAAATAAAATTCACCTGGCATGTAGCTGGGGGTTTGAAAAATGAAACCATTAAAACCATGCAATGCATTTTTTTATAAATGATATTGACTTCATGGTTTACAAACTATCAATTAAGCAATCATTTTTAACTTTTTAAAATTAGAAATAAAAGTTTATTGGTTTAAACTGCACCACAAGAGGTTTTAACCGAAAACCACCACAAAACAAGCCACATATTAACCTGCTTTATTAGAATAACCTAATCTGCATTATGCACGGAAATAGCTAATTGTCTTCATAAGGTTACAATGTTATTGCTTAAAGAAGAAGAAGAAGAAGATGAGGATGAGGATGATGAAGATGAAGAGGAGTCTGCACAGGAGCTGCAGAGAATCAGAAACACGAGTACAAAAGCAAGGGGATGCAGGATTGAGAACCACTGGCTGGTGACAGTGACATCAAGCCTGGTCGCCGTGATTTTGCCAAGAAAGACATGTTCCTGGATCAACTTCTTTTGTTGATCCTGGATCAACATTACTGTCCAAAAATACAGACTTAACCTCTTAAGACCCGAGAAAAGATTTTTAGGGGAAAAAATAGTTGTTTTCATGTCTTTACGTTGTTTAGAGCATTAAAAAAAATGATATTTCATTCATAAGTTATGCTATGTCCTCGTTAGAGGACATCGGGACTCAATTTAAAAACATGAACAAAAACAATAGATTTTTTAAATCACCAATACATTTTCTATTTGAAGACCAAGGAGAGGGAGTGGTCATAGTGAAACATCCAAACATTTAGTATCTCTGAAAAGCCCTGAATGTGCTCTGTACAGGACATCCAGACTTAAAACTGTGGCATGTATAGTCTCAGAGAAATACACCAAAATATAATGTCCTCATATGAGGATGCAGGGTCTCAGGAGGTTAACCCAATCCCCACCCCTAAACCTAACCTTACCCATAATTTATTCCTAAAATCAGAGGGAAATGATAGCCGATTAACAAGGGTGTAGAAGCACCTAATCCTGATTTTAAGCCTAAAACTGACATTTCCTGAAAAGTTATCTCTCAATTCCGATTGGTTGATTGGAATGATGTTCCAGGATCAACGAAGATGATCCAGGAACATGTTGTACTTGGTCAAATCACGCTCACCATCAACCCTCTAGCGGTCGGTTTCTATACTGCACTTCAGCCTTGAGCTCTTTTTCGGCATAAGTGAGTATAGCAGCAAACACTTGCTCTTGCAGAGTGGCACTGCCCATAACCAGAGCAATAAGGCCAGCCCCGTCTGTCCAGTCCAGAGTGCCCAATGCACCCATGACATCACAGTACAGTTTCTCCTTATATTTTGGAGGCAGCTCCTTGATGATCTCAGGAAGAGGTTTGAATTGACCACTGGTCATCCAAGTTCCCAGAAGACCTCCCAAAGTACCACCTAGAGTAATATATTAAGAGATGCACAGAGTCTGATTGATGAACTTTGTTTGTAAAGGTGAATCACTAGCTTATTTTGTTAACAGTTAGAATAGGCGCAAATTACAGTGTTGTGCTTTTTCAAACATTAAACAGAAATTAAAATATTAAAAATAAAATATTAAAATAAATTAAACAATAGACTAAAATAATAAAAACACTCTTGTTTATAATATTACTATATCTGTAATAGTCCTACAAATTGTAACTTAATTTATGATTTTTAATAATATATGTTTGTAATTTCTAGTAATATATAATATTTCTTATTTGATGTTGATGAAGGATTAGTCTTACTGAAGGCAACAAAGGTTGAGAAACACGGCACTAGGTCATTAAAGATGATATTATAACACCACCCTGTGATGAAAGTAGATGAAAGTTCATGGATTGCATGGAAAACAGAGGCACGTTCTTACCAACAGCTATGCCGGCTGCGCCTCCAACCATTCCCCCTACAAAAGCACCTCCACCAGCCGCTGCAGCTCCCTTTCCAGAGCTCTTCACGGCTGCTTTCATCTTCCTGCTGGCTGAGACCTCACAGCAAAGCTGCATAACATCATCCACTCGACTGCTCATTGTGATGTCAAGAGAAACCTGGAAATAAACGCTAATAGATCATTTGCCCTTTTACACACAAATGAGAAGAACAGAAACGCACACTGATATGCAAACACAGATGAAGTACTTTAATCAGCCAGTTGCCCATTCACATGCAGCATCATTATATCAACTATTCCAAATCATTTTATGATATGCAAATTTTATTGCTCACAGTAATACAGCCTTTATTTAGATTTCACTACATTCTGCAAGCAAACAATGGAAAAATAAATACCAAATTTAAAAAAAAATTCAGAAATTTGTTACAAATTTTACATTATTTATTAAAGAATATACCTTTAAAAACAAAACAATTAAAATATAGGCTATAATTTTTTTAAACAAATGAAATCTATTTCAGTATACTATAATTTTTTTAAATAATTATTATTATTATTTAATTGATAATTGATACAATTTTGTCACATTTATATGATAAACAATAAAACTCCTTTTTTAAAAGCTTACCTTTTCTTCTTTAAAGAGGAGCTATAGCAGACGCCTGTTCCAGTCACTCTGGGTGAAATCAGTGTGAGATTGCTCAAGTACTCTACATTTTGCACACTTCCACAGTCTGTTCTGATGTAGAGCCGATTGCCTTGCTTTAATTTGTGTTACCACCATGACAATATTAATATGAACACGACACATCTCACACTCAGATGATTCATATTAGGAAGTCAGATTAGTTTATGCATCTCTTCAAGATCCTGCCAGGCCAAGCTATTAATGTATAAATCATTTGAAAATGTAATTAGGAGGAGATGTTTCTCATAAATTGCTTATCTGATATTTTGAGATCATAGATAAACAGTAATATAAAGAACATTGTCTCAGGTTATTCAGAATACTGTCCCATATTAAGTTTGTGTGGTGCACGTCACAACACCACCCTTCAAGATGACAGAAGTTGTGAGTAAGAAAGAAAGAAAGAAAGAAAGAAAGAAAGATTTAGGCTACAGAGGCAAAGGTGAGGCAACACATTTTTTTTTTATACATCAAAAGCATAAAAATAAAATGAAAAAAAAAAGTTTGAAATAAAATATGGGGTGGTTATAGGGTTTGCATAATTATTTTGAACAACAACAACAACAAAAATGTTTATTGCAATAATTTCATGCACTGGCCATGTTTTCAGTTGCTGTTACAACCCAGCATGGTATGTGGTGGGCAGTGTTGGGCAAGTTACTTCCAAAATGTAATACATTATATATTACTAGTTACTGTCTTTTGAAAGTAATTAGTTACATTACAATATTACTGTCTCTGAATTGTAATGCGTTACACTAATTTTGAGTTACTTTCACCAAAATATCCACAGAAGTATTATAAAATGCCAAAATGTAGTTTATTGCTGCTCATTCTACACCCAGTGGAGGGTAATGTGGTAGGTCTATATAGCATACAATTATAAAATCATATTTAGATGCCGGTATGTAGGTCTACATTAATGTTACGTTGTAGTTTAGGTTAAACACAGATAAGCAGAAACCACATTATTACATTCATAAATAACACCGGTAAATAAAGCGAAATGTTATCTGTCACTTTCATTAACATTAAAAAAATAAACATTAAAAAAATGCCTAATATGTGGCCTATAAACAATTGATATTATGGGGGAGGGGTCAAGCAACACAAGCAAGCAACGCGCAAACTGTGCAAGAATTATGCCGGTGAATGTCAGTCAAATCCCTATAGAGAAAGTGAAAGTTAAAAAACTGACGGAGCTTTCTAACGCTGCATTAATGTCGCATATTCTCTGAGACAAGAGACAAAATTACTTCAATATAGGCTGATGATCGTATATATCCGTCTTAAATTATTCCCTTAATATTTCTCTTCTGGCCCGTATAGTGAAAACCATGAGAAGAAACGTATTTCGCGTTAAACATGTTGTTTTTGAAAATCTGCACGAAATAAAGCTGCTCTTAATTTTCATCGATGACTGCAGTGTTAATAATTTTAATTATAGGCCTATAATTCAATTGTATAAATTAATAGACCTGTTCAGACCTTCTCAATGCGGAGTAGCCTAAACTAATAGCCTAAATTTTAATTATCCTCACAGCGGAACGGCATAGTCATATAGAATATGATTTAACAAAAACAGATTTTGTTATTTTTAGTTAAACTTAATTTGTGTTGCTTGTCTGCGCTCGTCCGCCACATTATTTCTCTTCTCCGACCCCACAGCTCTCTCCGATAGTTTACTGTTAGTGGCACCAGTCCAGTGTTTCCAGGTTTTACTCGTGCTATTTCTCCATGTTGAGAGTTTGGTGTCGCACATATTGCTAAGCATTCTTATCCTTTTCTCCGATGAACTGAAAATAACGTTAGTGTGTCCATCACAGAAATGTAGAATCCGTCTCTGCAGTCATCTCAACCATCTAATTCCAGCAACAGAAGTTAGACAAACTATTTTACCAGCCGAATTTTTTCTCTGGTGCTGTTTTGCGGTGTTAGTAATATGTTGTTGTAACTTGCGTTAATGAGATTGTAACAATAATAATACTACCCAAATTTTATTAGTAATGCGTTATATTACTGCGTTACAGCAAAACGTAATATACTACTGTAATATTATTACTTTTGTAATGCGTTACTCCCAACACTGGTGGTGGGTTACAAGAACAGCCCTCTTTAGTACTTAACACTAATTTACAAAGTTACAGGAATGATATAGTGCAAAAGAAAATGATTTACAATCTTTGAAACAAAAATGTCACACTAAGTTCTGAATTTCATTCATTGAGTTTTTTAGGCTCAGTTTAAAGGCTGGTTTTAGCCTGCTGTTATTGCTAAAGGGAGGGCCACCAGAGGGCACTACATCTCTGACTCTTGCCACTCTACCACAAACAAGTCCAGACTGTACACCGACGGCAGCGACTGCGACACAATTAAGATCAAGCAGAGGCATTTTAGGCTGAAAAAACTACTTTTCTGACAGCTAACAAGGTGGGCAAACCTTAAACGTTGTTTTACCGCATCTTTCTGAAATGTCTTTCATCAGTAACCTGTGAATGTGTTGTTTTCTCGAGAAAACGGCACTGATCTGTAGTTAAATTAAGCTGATTGTTATGTAATTAAACACTCAATGTCTTGAACGTTTCTCTAGTTATTACTATAGCTGTCCTTGTTATCTGTATCAGAAGTTGCTTTTGTAGGACTGTCATGGTCATCAAAAAGCAAATAGGCCTACACTTATCCGTCGTGTTTGTCAGTCTTGTCAACAAATGATCCATTCGGAGCGCCATAAAGAACAACATCCGCATGTGCGAATACCACTGGCGCCCCGCCTCGTGGGCGGAGCCTGTCGACGTCAGGTCGAGCACAGTCAAGAACAAGGAGGAGGAGCCTCGGGTACACAAACAAGTCCAGACTGTACACCGACGGCAGCGACTGCGACACAATTAAGATCAAGCAGAGGCATTTTAGGCTGGAAAAACTACTTTTCTGACAGCTAACAAGGTGGGCAAACCTTAAACGTTGTTTTACCGCATCTTTCTGAAATGTCTTTCATCAGTAACCTGTGAATGTGTTGTTTTCTCGAGAAAACTGCACTGATCTGTAGTTAAATTAAGCTGATTGTTATGTAATTAAACACTCAAATGTGTTTAAACACTTTTTTATTAGTTTATTAATATGCTCCATTGAAACATTCTGAAGGACAAGATAGAAAAAAGCAGCTAGTCTTATTTTGTTGTTCAGTAATGTCATTAGTTCCTTCGATAATCCGCCTATTTAGTTATTGTCGTGTTTATGGCAGTTATTTCAGTAGCAATGAAGAAATGTAGGCTACAGTCAGCGCTTGACTGTAAACAAGTTGCTTTACATGGCCAGGGCTACAGCTGATCACGCCTTCCTGTCCCTCTTACGGACGTGCATTGGAGATCATTTTAGGATTAATTAATTATAAACACAACAGTGTTTAGTTTTTGATTGATGATAAAAACTTAACATCGTAAACGAGTGTAAAAAAGTTACTATAAAAATAGCAGTAAATGAACCAGGACTCCCTTTGTTTGGAAAGAGTTTAAAAATAGAGAGTTGAGGAAAAGTCAAACAGATGATTCATCACCAATATTTCAAATACATTTGAATAGTATTTAAAAGGGTCTTGCAAAGTGCATGTTTGTGCAATGTTACGCTGGTTTAAGTCATCTGATGTAATGTGTACAAATAAGTTATCTTTGTAAGGAGAATGTTATTCTGTAAAAAAAAAAAAAGAAAAAAAAGGCGGTTTTGTGTCTGTACACTGGGTATTTCCAAAACACTTCCTAGTTTTTGCCTTTAGCAGAGTAGGATGACATGCCTGCACATATCTGATCCTGTACAGGAGTATTGATTCATATATGAATTTACTCTAAAACCAAGTTAAATTTAGAAAGAGATTCCAGACAATCTGTGGAAGGGAACAGCATGTCCAGGTCAACCAGCTGATATGTGCCAAGTGCATTAGTTGTACCAGGCCAGCAGAAAATGACCTTACATTTAATAGTTCGTAAAGCTGTGTCTGATGTGACACCTGAAACATTTTGCACGTTACTTTCCATCAACAACTTTAACAACAGAAAGAAACACTTGCATGCAAAATATGCTCATATCTTACTAAAGGGAGAATATTGCTTTGGGGCTCGACTCCACTAGAGGGCAACATAACTCTTTATTGATTATTATTATTATTATTATTTTTAACAGATAGCAGTCTGACAAAGCCATACCAGAAAATGATCAGTAGAATACTTGCACAGCTGGTGGGAAGAGAAGAGAAAGACAGTGATAATGCAGAAGAAACTGATAACTGTGCGAACCTCCTCGAGTTTGATGAAGGAGAATGGGTTATTATAAAAATACATGGTGAGTTATTTTGGTTATCATTTTCAATTATTGATCAAATGTGACTGATTTTTACACTACAATCATCCTTAGGTTTATTGATGTAAATATGAATCAAATCGTATCAGGCTTAAAGTGTGAGTGTCATTACCTTCATTTCTAGCCTCTGTGTACGTTATATAGTGGAAATATAAAGCAAACCAGGGTAGTTCACTAGACAAATGAAGGCCAATTTTCACCATTAAATAAAATGTTTAAAAAAATCATAGTAACTGTGATGTACAATAGTGACATATTGTAATACATTACATAAATGTGTAACATTTAAAAATATGTGACAAAAATGTGCTGGTGGAAAAAAACAAAACCTTGTGCTGAGCAGTTAAAAACAACCTTCTTGTCTGAATGTATCCTAGTGTGGTTTTATTGCATTCACTTATCTAACACTTGTTTATCTCTACAGTCTAAAACTTAAAACAGTTATCGTCCTTGTGGCAAACACCCGCTTGACAGCTAGCCCCAGCATCCCTCATATTGTATAGCTTACTCATTGGGCCTGTAAAAGAAAGAGGGAAAAGATTGCCCCATGAATTCAAGCGTCAATGCTGCTCGGACATCCCTTATTGGAACTGGACCTGAATTTGTGTTACCAGATGAATTTCTCTCAGTACCACCGACCTAAGTAATGTTGTTGAACTGAAGTAATTTATGCTTCCTGTGCAGAGAATCTGTCACTTGGTTCCGCTGACACAAACATTCTTGAGAACCTGTTGATCGAGCACCCCAGCATGTCTGTATACCAGATGAGGCCTGATCAGGAAGACCTTGGCTCAGATGAAGAAACAGAGGACAAGGCTAGGTACATTTAAGGACAATTAGCCACTATCATTAGTCACTATCAGTCATTTCTAGAGCCAACATTCATTATTTAAACAACTTAAATGACATGTTATAGGGTTAATATACACTATACTGTTAAAATATTTGGGGTCAGTAAGATTTTTAAAAAATATATATTTTTGAAAGAAGTCTCATGCTCACCAAGGTTGCATTTGATTAAAAATAAAGTAAAACAGTCGTTTTATTAAACATTACAATAAAAAAACTTTTCTATTTAAAAATATATATTTTAAAATGTAATTTATTCCTGTGTTGGCAAAGCTGCATTTCCAGCAGCCATTACTCTAGTCTTCAGCGTCTTGTAAATGATAAATAATAATAAAAATAAATAAATAAAAATAATACATTTCTTATTATTAATGTTGAAAACAGGTTTGCTTAATATAGACAGTTGTGCTTAACATGTTTTGTGGAAACTGATTTTCATTATTATTATTAATAGAAGGGCTGAATCAGCACTTATTTGAAATATTTGTCTTCACGTTCACTTTTGATTTAACGCCTACTTACTTACATTTATGGCTCCAGGCATAAGCACGGCAGTCATACCCAAATAAAATGAAGAGAACAAGTCCATTGATGTCACACTGATATGTAACCTATATTTCCATGTTGTAACCGTGGTTATGTTGGCTTGTGATTTGTCAATCTACCCCTTTAGGCCTGTGCCAATTAGACGTCACGTTTCTTGGCGGTTAGCTGCATGGGGCAGCCCTTTGCCCTGCAGCACCATTCTGCTCTCAGTGCAGCGTGCCAGAGCCTATAATGAGCACAGAAAACTGAACCGTGGTGCCCTCAACAGGCAAAACCTCACAAGAACACACTACTCGCCTTCAGAGCGCCGCTATGGCTACTTCAAACAGCCCACTCAGCGCCTGTACAACTATTGAGAAAAATCAATTGCATCTGAAACCATTGAACAACCAGGCTTGTGATATATGAATAGTCGTTTTTAGGGGGTATGTTTGCAAATCATGCCATGAAACCATTCCCCTGTGAGACCAGTATGGATTAAGAAAAACGTTTTGTTAAATGCAGTGTGGTATTATCTTAAGGAGAAAGTCTCTCTGATAGTCTGACACTGAAATAACTCTGAAAAGCATGTGTTACAAAATTGCAAGTGAGTTGCATTTTAATAGTCTAGGATTTGAACGTTTTTAAACAGTGTAATGATGTTTGTGTGCATCTATTTTAGCTTAGCTGTGACTGGTGCATGAATATTAACTGAAAGAAAAAAAAAATCAGTTTTGAAGCCTACAATAAATTGAAGACTGTACTGTACAAAGCAATGCATTTTTTACGCATCTATTTTAGCTTAGCTGTGACTGGTGCATGAATATTAACTGAAAGAAAAAAAAATCTGTTTTGAAGCCTACAATAAATTGAAGACTGTACTGTACAAAGCAATGCATTTTTTTACATCAAATATGTGACCCTGGACCACAAAACCAGTCATAAGGGTAAATTTTTCTAAATTGAGATTTATACATCATCTGAAAGCTGAATAAATAAACTTTCCATTGACGTATGGTTTGTTAGGATAGGACAGTATTTGGTTGAGATACAACTATTTGAATGAGGGTGCAAAAAAATTTAGAAAATCGCCTTTAAAGTTGTCAAAATGAAGTTCTTAGCAATGCATATTACTAATCAAAAATTAAGTTTTATATATTTACAGTAATACATTTACAAAATATCTCCATGGAACATGATCTTTACTTAATATCCTAATGATTTTTGGCATAAAAGAAATATCAATAATTTTGACCCATACAATGTATTTTTGGCTATTGCTACAAATATACCCCAGCGACTTAAGACTGGTTTTGTGGTCCAGGGTCACATATTAAGGTGATATCTTAATGTTACTCACATGACAAAGCGTTATGCTGTGATTTACTGCCAGTGGTTCATATTGTTCAATTGTTCAAATGTTTTGACTTTGTATATTTAAATGCCTTTTTGGTGTTGCTTTATTTTTTATCTTCAATAATATATTTGATAAAACCTTTTAAAAGTGAAAAATAAATATTTTATCTTCACATTGCTCATACTTATTTTTTTCTTTTACAATTTGAATTACAACAGTTACTCCTGAAGTTCATGTATCTTCCCCATGAACCTCTTGACTCTCAGCATCCACACCATTTGCCCAATAACCTCCTTTCTTGATCATGGCGCTCGCTTGAAGGTAGTGCTCCACATTATCATGGGTTACACCAGAGCCGATGAGAACAGGGATCCGTACAGACTGGGTAACCTCTGTCACACAAATAGTGCTCAGAAAAAGGGGCAGCAAAACATGAGTGTGAGTACATACCTCTGCTACATGCATGCATAAAAAATACAAAAACATGTTGTTCCTTCATTGTAATGAGGATTCTGGCAGACTGTGGCTCATCCTCCATCTGACAGCTTCCCCAGTCCAATGGATCAAAACTAAGGGAGGCAATAGGCACAAGTCCAAAGTAGGCAGCAGGGCAGTGGCAGACTAGGCTGGGCCTGGTTTCCATGCCTATGTTTACAGCCTTCCATGATCACCGGCCATCTGGAAGTGGGATTTAAAATAGCTGGCAGTGCTGATGTCTATGTTAGCCCATACAAGGCCACTGGTTTTGAGGGAAGGGGACAGGAGACTGTGCGGCATCATTTCTGCCCAAAGGACACCACTGTTTTTAAGGACTTAAACACGTAGCTGTTGGGCTCCATTAGAAGCGGATTAACCTCTAAATGAACAGATTAATCTCTGAATGAGACTGAACACTGAGAGTGTGTCACAAAAGTGCATTAGTGTTAAAGCTGTACAGCTTTGCTCACCAGGGATGCATTTATTTGATAAATAATACAGTAAAAACAGTAATATTGTGAAATCATGACCAATTTAACATAACTATTTTAATGTATTTTACAGTTATTAATTCCTGTGATGGCAAAGCTGAATTTTCAGCAGCTATTACTCCAATCTTCAGTGTCACATGATCCTCTAGAAATTATTCGAATACTCATGAAAAAAAAAATCTCATCAATGTTGAAAGAAATTGTGCAGGTTATCATATTGTGCAAACGGTGATATATATTTTATATTTTATTTTTTTAAAATTCTTTTCAGGATTCTTGGATGAATAGAAAGTTCAAAAGAACTCTTATCAATACTGTATGAATGTAAAAGTCTTTACTGACATTTTTGTATAAAAGTATTAATAAATGTATAAATTTTCTATTTAAAAAAAAAAGGTTAAAAAGCAGTGTTGGAGTGTAAAGGGACATAGAACAGCAAAAGGCTAAAGTCCTGTTAAGTCAGACATCATGCTGGTCACATGAAAGCCCTCGAAAATAGTCAAGACTGTTTTGGTGTAATTTAAAGACTTTTCTGACTCGTTTCCACCAATCTGTTCGTTTAAACAGTTCGTTTCAAATAACCGGTTGAAAAATTCTTACTAAACGCTCCAACAAAGCCATATGCCATTTTCGTTACATTTAAAGTTGTTTATTGTAATTTCATGTTCAGTCCTAGTTCATGTTCACACCAAGAACGATAAATACGATAATGATAAGAACGATAATGTTCTGTTTATTATAAGCGCGCTTTATTTGCTGAAGTTCAAAGTGGGTCGATTATAGGCCCAGGACTATGTTAGCCCATACAAGGCCACTGGTTTTGAGGGAAGGGGACAGGAGACTGTGCGGCATCATTTCTGCCCAAAGGACACCACTGTTTTTAAGGACTTAAACACGTAGCTGTTGGGCTCCATTAGAAGCGGATTAACCTCTAAATGAACAGATTAATCTCTGAATGGGACTGAACACTGAGAGTGTGTCACAAAAGTGCATTAGTGTTAAAGCTGTACAGCTTTGCTCACCAGGGATGCATTTATTTGATAAATAATACAGTAAAAACAGTAATATTGTGAAATCATGACCAATTTAACATAACTATTTGAATGTATTTTACAGTTATTAATTCCTGTGATGGCAAAGCTGAATTTTCAGCAGCTATTACTCCAATCTTCAGTGTCACATGATCCTCTAGAAATTATTCGAATACTCATGAAAAAAAAAATCTCATCAATGTTGAAAGAAATTGTGCAGGTTATCATATTGTGCAAACGGTGATATATATATTTTATATTTAATTTTTTTTAAATTCTTTTCAGGATTCTTGGATGAATAGAAAGTTCAAATTTTTTTCTGTGGGCAACTGTTTAACTGTTGGGAATAAAAAAAAAATCGGAGTGTCTATTTACACTAAGTGGAAATAGCCTGCCTTGTTGGCAGAGGCTATTTACAGTAACTCCACCCACAAACGTGTGATTGGGCTAGTCACACGGCCCTCAACCATCAGATTCAGTGGCATAGATGGTAAAGCGTGTGTCATAACCTATTTATTTTGACGCAATCGACCCGGGTTCGAATCTGCCTTTTGGCGAACGTTTTTTCTCCCTTTTCAAATTTCAAATCATATCAGAAAAGCATTTATTTTAAATAAATAAATCTCATCAATGTTGAAAGAAATTGTGCAGGTTATCATATTGTGCAAACGGTGATATATATATTTTATATTTAATTTTTTTTAAATTCTTTTCAGGATTCTTGGATGAATAGAAAGTTCAAAAGAACTCTTATCAATACTGTATGAATGTAAAAGTCTTTACTGACATTTTTGTATAAAAGTATTAATAAATGTATACATTTTCTATTTAAAAAAAAAAGGTTAAAAAGCAGTGTTGGAGTGTAAAGGGACATAGAACAGCAAAAGGCTAAAGTCCTGTTAAGTCAGACATCATGCTGGTCACATGAAAGCCCTCGAAAATAGTTATCAGGTAGGGTTAGGGTAGGTGTGGGGAGGGCATCCATTTAATAATTTGAATTATAATTAACATTTACACTCAATAAGTTATTATTGCATACTGTTTTTTAATGTATTACAACGCGGAGGTGCAGATAATCACCACTATTTTTGTGCAAGGGCACCTCAATCGTGGTATTGAAGGTGGAAGAGAGTGCTGGTCATTCACTCCCCACACCTACAATCCCTGCCGGTACCGAGACTTGAACCTGCGATCTTTGGGTTTTAAGTCCAACTCTCTAACTATTAGGCCACGACTAATTTCGGAAAGATCATGTGACACTGAAGACTGGAGTAATGACTGCTGAAAATTCAGCTTTGCCATCAAAGGAAAAAACAACATTTTAAAATAAATTAAAACGGAACAAAGATATTTAAAATTGTAATAATATTGCAAAATATTACTATTTTACTGTGTTTTTGATCAAATAAATGCAGCCTTGGTGAGCATAATAGACTTCTTAAAAAAAAAAAATCTAACCAACTTTTAAATGCTATATAGAATAGTATAAGAGGACATATTGGATAGCATCACATCTTAATTTACTTAATGATACATTGAAGACATAGAATGTAATGTAAATATACAGTCACATTAAAGAGAACCAGACTCACCCCTCAGTTCCTCTGGATCAGCCTGTGCTCCAGTGGCACTTCCTGTGACGATGACTCCATCAGAGAGGAAGAACTCAGCTGCTTGGGCCGTCTTAGCTATGCTCACATCTGAAGTTAGGGCATGAGCGCTGTAATGTCCGTTTTCAAATATAACTCATGTGATCACGTGACACAATAATAGAAACCACCACACTGTGTTGTGCCTCTTTTAGAGCTCTGTGGCCAGCCAGTTGCGTGTAATGTAATCAGATCTGATCATACCTGTGCTTCTTCTTGATGTCTGTAAAGATCTGAAGATGCTCTGCTCCAATGCGTCTGTGGTAGCGCAGCAGCTCACCAGCACAAGCGTTTAACAGGCCTTCATCTGCAACATGTGAGGACACAAACCCCTCTGCACGGATAAAATCCAGCCCTGTGCATAAATTAATATGCATTAAACATCTTGTCAGAGAATAATTCAGTTTTAAATGGCATCCATGATGGCTTGTACAGTCATGCAAAGACCTGAGGCCAGGGCAACAGCCAACACTGAATGGTTTGCAGCTGAGAGAATCTGAACACCAAGCGGCCAAGCTGGATAAAGGACCGCAAATATAACTCATGTGATCACGTGACACAATAATAGAAACCACCACACTGTGTTGTGCCTCTTTTAGAGCTCTGTGGCCAGCCAGTTGCGTGTAATGTAATCAGATCTGATCATACCTGTGCTTCTTCTTGATGTCTGTAAAGATCTGAAGATGCTCTGCTCCAATGCGTCTGTGGTAGCGCAGCAGCTCACCAGCACAAGCGTTTAACAGGCCTTCATCTGCAACATGTGAGGACACAAACCCCTCTGCACGGATAAAATCCAGCCCTGTGCATAAGTTAATATGCATTAAACATCTTGTCAGAGAATAATTCAGTTTTAAATGGCATCCATGATGGCTTGTACAGTCATGCAAAGACCTGAGGCCAGGGCAACAGCCAACACTGAATGGTTTGCAGCTGAGAGAATCTGAACACCAAGCGGCCAAGCTGGATAAAGGACCCTGACGGCTGCACACACAGCTGTCATGGATGCACACACTTCTGGACCCACCTCAAGGGAAGCATTTATTTTTAATAAAAATGAAGGAAATAATCAAAAAGTTGAAAATAAAGTATCAGGTAGGGTTAGGGTAGGTGTGGGGAGGGCATCCATTTAATAAATTGAATTATAATTAACATTTACACTCAAGTTATTATTGCATACTGTTTTATAATGTATTACAACGCGGAGGTGCAGATAATCACCACTATTTGCAATAAGTAATTAGCAGAATATCCTGCTATTTTAACATAGTATAAAGAATAGCTATGTGTACGATGCAAAATTGTGTCACTACATCAAATCTCAGCAAAAATATATTTTATATGTTAATTTAGATTTGTTCGTAAAATAATATAAATGCATAATATGTTAAAATATAAATAACTATTTTTATATACAACATTGAACACTTTTGAACGATTTAATTTTTGAACGATTACAAGTTTTTTTATTAGCTAGTAAACTAGTAAAACTACACATTCTGAACAAATATAGTTTTAAGCAGTGTATTCGTAGTCAGTATGCTATACTCTAAGAAAATAAATCACAGGTTTTTACCTGCATTTTAAATTACGCATTGTATTTTGTGTTTTCGGGTTACAGGGTTACAACGGATAATGGATAACGTCCTGGAAAATTATTAGTACCTTTGCAATTTTTCTAGATATTTTTCTTACAGTGCCTAACTGATCAACAATCACATGTACAAGCTACTAACAAGGTGTATCATAAACGAACAATTATTAAATTATTATGGTTATTATCAAATTGAACTTAATTCATGTGAAGTATGTACTTCTAGGCATCTTTGGTTTCCTCTTTTTGTGAAATTTAGATGGAAAATGTGTGCCTTTTTGTTGTTTGAGTCACTTATCAAAAGTTGCTAAAACTAGCCAAATAAAATTTAAAAATAGCTAAATTTGTTGCTAGGTGCTTTTGGAAGAAAAAGTTGCTAGGGTAGTCTGAAAAGTTGCTAAATTTAGCTACAAAATTGCTAAATTGGCAACACTGAACCTAAAATATCTTCCCGCGCCCTAATATTTTTTCGTTCATGGTTGGAAGAAAATAGTTCGTAAAGTGATTCCATTCCAACGATATCGTTCCTCTGTGTCGTTATCTTTAAACAGTGTAGTGTGGACTTTATCATATTCTCATAGAATTACAATGATTATTGAAACGTTACAATTAATAACTAATAATGGTCATACCTGTGCAATTTAGCTTTTTAACCCCATCAGTCCATTCCTATAGGTTCACATCAAATGCACCTGTATTGTCGGCTCATTTCGAATCGGACATGTGGGAAATGATTCTCGGTTCAGTGAGTCAGATGACTCGAGAACATCTCAGACACCAGCTCATGAATCGTTTAAACCGATGCCAAGATCCGATACCGGTTCTTCATTGAAAAGATCCGAATGATTAATTCACGAACCAAAGCACCGCTGATACGCAGGCGATTATTACAATAAACTTCAGATAGAAAGCGCGATGTGATTATAATTCTGCACAAAGATTTCTACGATGATGTATACATTTAACTTATGTTGAACACATAAGTCCTGCCTGGTGGTAAATTTCCGCCTCGACATGCCTCCTCTGTGATCTCAGAGACAGTTGCGCTGTTCAAGGGGGTTCCTGCAAAAGAAATAAAGAGTTCAGTATTTCTTCTAAGTTTGTACTGGCGAAATAAATGCGTTACCCGGGTTTGTACTGGCGAAATAAATGCGTTTCCCGGGTTTGTACTGGCGAAATAAATGCGTTACCCGGGTTTGTACTGGCGAAATAAATGCGTTACCCGGCAAGGCTCGGACGTGAATCATGCCTATGACATTTTTAAGCGTTCGAAAAGACTGAAAAACGTAATTTCTTCAGTGAACAAAACCCAGATTTATGTGTTTTGATGGTCATGTGACCGGTCAAAGGTTATATACTGATAGACAGGCACGTGCACAGGTAGTGCAGAGCACATGCCCTTTTTGTCCTTACACTCGGAAGTGCCCTTTTTTTTTGTTCTTCAATAAATCACGGGTTTGTACTGGTCGAAATAAATGCGTTACCCGGGTTTGTACTGGTCGAAATAAATGCGTTACCCGGGTTTGTACTGGCGAAATAAATGCGTTACCCGGGTTTGTACTGGCGAAATAAATGCGTTACCCGGCAAGGCTCAGACGTGAATCATGCCTATGACATTTTTAAGCGTTCGAAAAGACTGAAAAACGTAATTTCTTCAGTGAACAAAACCCAGATTTGTGTGTTTTGATGGTCATGTGACCGGTCAAAGGTTATATACTGATAGACAGGCACGTGCACAGGTAGTGCAGAGCACATGCCCTTTTTGTCCTTACACTCGGAAGTGCCCTTTTTTTGTTCTTCAATAAATCAATGCTATTGGTCACCCTTTACGTCTGTCTGTCTGTTTTACAAATATATTTAGCGAATGAAAGGTATTAAAAAGAGTTTGTGACTCAATCTTGTCGGATCCGCTCAAACTGTCAGTCAAAGCTCATAACCCCGCCCCCTGTCTTGACTGACTGAGTGCAGTGAACTGAAGTTCCACAGCAGAGCAGCTGAACGTCTTGCAAGGGTAAATAAATATAATCTTGTTTGTATAAGTACAGCGTTGTCTTTAAGCAAGAAACACTATATGTCTACTGTATAAAGGCTCATTTTTTATGCATTTGAGGTCTGAGACCGGACCTGCGGAGAGAGGGCATTGCCATCTAAATTAGTCATTGCCAAGCCTACACTTAAATAGCCTGTGCATACAGTAGCATTTCATCTTTTATAAAATGACATTTTGGCCAAACGTATTTTACAACAGGAAAAACTGAGCGCCCATATAGCTACAACAAACTTTGTAACCTGTTGATTAAAACGTAATGTGATGCTGCCGTTTTAATGATGGACAAGTTGCACATTTGCACACACATTTGCTGGTCAAAAACCCGGCCATAACTGCATTTGAGTTTGACACAAAGCGACTGAGTGTTCCTCGTCAGCTAGGTAAAATATATTTCTAAGAAAATTCTTCTTTGATTTATGATGGCTATCTGCTGATACACTTTTAACATCTAATCATATTATATATGGTCACACTCACAGCATGTTAATATGCCTGTATTTGCTAGCTAGCTAATTTTTGAATGTAGTCTCCGTTTATCATTAAGATGTGACCAGTAAAAACCAGGGGGGGGGCTTTTCCAGTTATATATTTAAAACGCCGCTGTATATTGCAGTATATAGTGTATTTCTAAGGGGGCGCCAGTCAGTATAGTGAAACTGATTTGCCTGCGTAACCCAACAGCAGCAACTGGACCAAAAAAAAGCGCTATAGCACCTTGACAGCTCTTGACATCTCAAACGGCCAACCCAGCACAGCCACAACATTGCATTTTATATATCACTGACATAGCGGCGTGCTATAGTCCAACTTTTTAACCCAAACACTTGGATTGTTTACTTCTTGAGCCTGCTAGCCATGTGCTCGAGGTACTTCCGCTACCGCAATACCGCCTCCCGCGTGACGTCACCAAACACACGCCTCATTTTGCCGGCAAAATGTTTTCTAAACTTTGTTTTATTGACATTAAATATTTGAAGTATAACGTGGGGATCTCGCGTGCTCGCTCCGTGCTGGTGTCACTCCCCCAGCGGCACCGATCGCAGGGCTTCGCTTCGTTGTCGTTACAGCAAAGCGGGGATTTTAAATGACCCGCGTTGACGGCCCCTTTTAACCACTGCTGGCGGGTTATAAGACAAGGCGCAAAATTACTGGCGCCAGCTCAGATCGAGCGGACTGCGGAACACATCACAGCTTAGCCATATGCTGCCTGCTTACAGAGTATTGGAGCAGTTTTACTAAAGAATGCCTTGTGTAACACCATCCTAACTTTTGCATTCGAGGACATCCGTGGAGAGAAGGCATTTTCAGAGAGCATCACAATAAGGTACGTGCATTGCACAATCGCGAGGTTATTGTTAAAGATCGGTAAAAGTAGCATTAAACATGTCAAATGCATTAAAAGGGTTCGGGGAAGCAAATGTGGGAATGTCGGATTGCGGGGACTTTGGTTTCTTACTTTAAGCTGTTGAAAGAGCGGGTTCAATGAAATGAGGAATCATGATTGGCTCGGCCATTTTCTGACTCCCTCGGGCAGAGCAAAGCAAACGTGTAGTTTTAATAAAAACGTTAGAAATATGGGCATGCACTGGGCTTGCTTTACAAATATAGACTGTGAAGTGCATATATCTGTGGTTTTGAAGCGATCGGTTGCGTTTTTCGTGTAGTTTTGCCCTCTTGAACATTGTGCCCAGCTCTACTTCCCCGCGCCCAAAGCGCTTTGTGAAGACGTACATGAGGAAGGGGGGTTGGGATTAAACGCCACAAATCGGACATTTTTATAAAGTAACACTTTTATATTTTAGGCTCTCGACACTCAAGAAGGTCACACGCGAGGATATCATGCCAAGCAAGAAAGTGTAAGTTCGGTTTCGTCTCTTTTTAAGGCAGTTTTGACCATCGGTGTGCATGGAAAAGTTGCAGCAGCGAATTAGCCCACTTAGTCTCTTACACAGAGTTTCAGGCCAATGTGGAAATGTAACCGTATCACTTTTCGTTGCAGGCTACGAACAGAGCAGTTTAACACTACAGATGAAGCTCCTAAAACTATTTCAGTGCGTCCCAGGAAGAGAAAAGCAGACGTGGCTATTGTAAGGAAACGTTTTTTTTTTTTCTTGCTTTCTTATACTAAAAACTCCAATGAGAGATTTAAGTCTCTGACTGTTTTGTTTTTTGAATTCACAGCATTTACAAGATCCAGATGAAGAGATCACAGAGATGACAAGAAAGAAACCATGTGCATCCCAGGTATGGATGAGTCATGACTGGTGTGTGTGTGTGTGTATCCATAGGCCTCACAAGGCATGGCATATCAGTGACCTTAAACTAATTCCCATTTTTAGTTTAGTCTTTTATGTAGATCGCAAAGTGAAGAATAATGACACTTGTGGTCTAAAATGTACTGAAATTATTCAACTTTATTTGTGGTAAATGTATACATAACCTAATATTAAGGCCATAAATGTTTTGAACGGCGTCTTTTTTGGGAGGAGCAATGCAGAGTTATTTAAAGGAATTAAATGGATATAAGAGAATAAAGGAAGAAAAGTTTAGTCGGTTAGATAAGTGTTTAAATTTAAAAAAATGTGCACTCGTTTACTGATATTAGTGATAAATTTCATGAATCACAAACCTGTATTTTCAAAAACATGAAATTTCATAGGAACTTGAGTAGTTTGCAACAATGGATATTTTATTAGCATTTCTATTGTAAAACTGATAAATGTTTAGCTACTTGCATCTTAATCTTTCACTGTTAATAACTGAAGTGTTCACAGAGATGACAAGAAAGAAACCATGTGCATCCCAGGTATGGATGAGTCATGACTGGTGTGTGTGTGTGTGTATCCATAGGCCTCACAAGGCATGGCATATCAGTGACCTTAAACTAATTCCCATTTTTAGTTTAGTCTTTTATGTAGATCGCAAAGTGAAGAATAATGACACTTGTGGTCTAAAATGTACTGAAATTATTCAACTTTATTTGTGGTAAATGTATACATAACCTAATATTAAGGCCATAAATGTTTTGAACGGCGTCTTTTTTGGGAGGAGCAATGCAGAGTTATTTAAAGGAATTAAATGGATATAAGAGAATAAAGGAAGAAAAGTTTAGTCGGTTAGATAAGTGTTTAAATTTAAAAAATGTGCACTCGTTTACTGATATTAGTGATAAATTTCATGAATCACAAACCTGTATTTTCAAAAACATGAAATTTCATAGGAACTTGAGTAGTTTGCATCAATGGATATTTTATTAGCATTTCTATTGTAAAACTGATAAATGTTTAGCTACTTGCATCTTAATCTTTCACTGTTAATAACTGAAGTGTCGCACTGGATTCATGTTCGGTTTCTGTAAACAATGTATTATATATGTATATGTGTGTGTATAAAATAAATTTTGGTAGTCTGCAGAGGCAGACCATTTTAAAATGTAGCTTTTGTCAACAAACAGAGCCGCATCAAGTTTATCAAATATCCATGTTGGTTACAGCCCTGTATAATAATTATCTTTGCAGCCTATGCCACTTTTTGTATTGGGAGTGATTAGGGTTAATGTCATGGGTTGAGCTTACATGGTAAGCTGTTTTGTGTCATGGAAGGTCCTTTTCAAAAAGCCTTTGAAGCCTCTCCTAGTTGCAGAGGGCGAGCTGTTGTATTTGTTTATATCCATTAGAGCACTTACCTTTTTATTTTTTTTCTTCTATCATCTTGTCCTCTTACTCAGGCCTGCTGGAATCCCAACACCGGTTACACAAGCCCATGCAGGCGGATCCCCGCACCCGATGAAGTTGAGGAACCGGTTGCTGTTGGCAGCGTGGGGTTCGCACAGTATGCCTCAGAAAATATTTTCATCACTCCCACACGATCTACCCCTCTGCCGGCCCTCTGGTGAGATATTTATGGCGTCTCAAACTTTTATCTACCTTAGATTGACATGTCTAAATATTTGCCAGTAGAACATCTTTTCTGACAAGACAAGAATCTGTGATGCAGTGTTGATGACTCTCATTTGATATGCATGGTTTTACATGCAAAAGTTAACTTTCTAGAGAACTGTCAACATATCAAAGCACTGATCTTAAGCCCAACACATTTGGAATTGTATTTATTGATTTAGACCAGGGGTAGGCAAGTTCGGTCCTAGAGAGAGTTCAGCTCCAACCCTGAAAAAAAACCTCACCGGCCTATAGCCTTAGTAATCCTGAAGACATTGATTAGCTTGTTCAGGTGCGTCTGATTAGGGTTGGAGCTGAACTCTGCAGGACTGTGGCTCTCTAGGACCAAACTTGATTTAGACGATATGTTGTTTTTGGTCCATCATATCAATGCGTGAATCGGTTGTTTTCAACTTTCAATTTTGTAATTTCACATAGCTGGGCAAGCAAAGATGACGTGTGGAACAACCTGCTTAGAAAAGACAAACTCTACCTGCGAGATACACATGTTATGGAGAGGCATCCAAATCTTCAACCCAATATGAGAGCGATTCTGCTGGATTGGCTAATGGAGGTTTGTAATCGTTGTTTAACCATTCACACGTCTTAATCTAATCTCATTAAGAGGGGTGGGGACTAAACCACATTCTTGTCTAAACATCAGATTGTTTACAAAACCTGAGAACTTGGGGAACAGCCTTTTTTTTTTTTTTAAATTACAAACTAACTACAAGTACAGCCCAAAGGAAACTTCAGTTTTGACACACATGCTCCATCCGTTTGGTGGCATGCCTGATCAACACGTGTGGACAAGAACATTTCATCCTTGTCCAGTGTTTGTGCTGTCCAGAAGCTGACTAAAAACTCTTTGTATGTTTAAAGTTGTGTGTGTATCTTAACCCCCACACAAGTGCTTGTTGGCAAGGCTGTCTTTTGTTGGCACCGTCTGTAGTAGTTAGTTGTTTTTCTGTCATCCATTTATATTCAAGAATAAAATCTTGCGTTATTAGAAACATGTACTATGCCAATGGTGAAATTTGTCACAATTGGGGTTTAATGGTACATGTATTCATACTGAAATCCTGTGACTTCACATGGCTTGCCCTCCTATCAGAAGTGTCTTGCATTTGAGACCCGTTTTCCTCCATGCATGACTTGCATCGTACCATTGTATCTTTATTGGTAAATGTTAGAAATTCAAGTATTTTCATTATGCATAAAGGTTGGTTCCGACAACAAGCAAGGCCCTGCTAAATTTCCCAAACTTCACTGAACAAAAGCGTCATACTGCACAATAATTCTGACCAAAATATTTTGCATTCAAAAGTGGAAGCACTTCAATTCTCTTCTCATTTACAACATCAAAAACTGCAGTACAAAGAATGTGCCGCATACCCTAGCATAGACATAAATGTTGACGTTTTCTGGAACTGGATGGTTTTATTTTTATGAGAACCGAAATGTTGTATGGTGATTTGACACTCATTGGCGTCCGCTGTTTTTCAGGTTTGTGAGGTGTACAAGTTACACAGAGAAACGTTTTACTTGGGTCAGGATTACTTTGATCGTTTCATGGCCACTCAAGAAAATGTTCTCAAAACAACACTACAGCTTATAGGCATCTCCTGTCTCTTCATCAGTGCCAAAATGGAGGTAAGTTTTACTTGTAGATGCCTTTTTATTTCAGCCTGAACATTTGAGAGGGATTGTAATATCCTTTTAGTGTAATTTGCATTTTAAGAACTTGTTCATGAAAAGTGCAGCATTTGTCAGAATGTTGTGAACTCGAAATGTAAGGTTGTTTTTGTTTTTTCCTCCAAAGGAAATTTACCCTCCTAAGGTGCATCAGTTTGCTTATATTACTGATGGGGCCTGCACAGAGGATGACATTCTTAGCATGGAAATTATCATCATGAAGGTATATTATCTTCATATCATCATTTAATCTCAGTTTTGTGCCGAAACCTGTAGCTTGTATGATGTATTGGACTACTCTTTACACCATTTGTTGTTATTCAGGAGTTGAATTGGAGTTTGAGTCCTTTAACCCCAGTGGCTTGGCTCAACATCTACATGCAGATGGCCTATCTAAAGGAGACTGCTGAAGTTCTCATGGCCCAGTACCCACAGGCTACATTTGTGCAGATTGCAGAAGTAAGATGGCACAATTAATCACATTAAAATCTCAATATGGTGTGTGACTATATATACCGCAAAAGGCTGTGATTCATTTAAAGTTATACTCTGCACATGTTGTGTCCCTCAATGTGAAGGCCTGAAACAGTTCTGTTTTCCAATACACACACATGTTTAACATGAGGCTACTGATTTTTGCTCTTTCAAAGCTACTCTCAGTATATGAATGCACCCTACGAAGCCAATCTCTGGAGCTGCGCTGAAAATGTGCTTTAAAGGCGTAGTCCACCCAAAAAAATAAATAAATTGTCATTTACCCCCCCCCCCCCCCCCCCCCTTTTCCACACCCCATTGTTGAGCG